AGTCCCTTCACCAGCCTAGTTGCTCTCCTCTGGACCTGCTCCAGCACCTCAATGTCCTTCCTGAACTGAGGAGCCCAGAACTGGACACAGCACTCCAGGTGTGGCCTCACCAACTCTGAGTACAGGGGAACAATCACTTCCTTGGACCTGTTGGCCACACTGTTCCTGATGATAATGAACACTGTTCTTCCTTTACGAGGAAATGTGTCAAATCTACAAGTTTTTATTTGTTCTTTCTCACTTTGGCTGCCAATAACAAAATGCTCTGAGCAAGATTCAGACTTAATAACTTATTTTTTGCATTACCTGACTTGTAACAGGGGATCTGTGCAGGCTTTGCACGTGCACAGAGTCACAGCGTGACAGAGAAACGGCGTCCTGCAATCCCTCACTAAGGGATTATTCCAACTGAAATACAATTTGAATGCAGGAATACCTTTGTCTGAGGTAAAAAATCATTTCCATAGCTAACAACAGGCAGCTCAGCACCCAAATTCCCAGGCTGGGATTCCCACTGTCACCTCAGTATCCGAAAGCCGCTGCTGGACATGTTTTGTTCTGTTAATGAGCTGCTCCTCCATCTCGATGTCGCTGCCTCCACTCTGGTGGGTGTCACTGTTGTCACTGCTCTGAGGGCTTGCTGCTGGTGACCCTGGTTCAAAACCACATTTCCCAGTTACCTTGTGATGGATATCAACTGGAATGTACCAGCATTGCCTAAATCTGCCTCAAAGGTTGAGCATTCTTCCAGCAAACAGGGATATAACTCAAACAATCCATGTACCTAAACATTAAAAATTTGTTGTAGGACACTGAGCATTTTAACACAAAGTTTGATTACTGATGTCTCTTCTTGCCAGTATATAAAAGTTATATAAATTTCCTACATTCTACATGAAATATAATTTTCATTTGACTTTGCATAAAAGCATAACTTCCAATTTTTACTAGTTGTTCTATTCAAATTAAACAGTTGTAGAAAAGCAGTATTGCATCAGAAGAATCACGCTGTGTACTTTTAAAACTATACTTACAAGGTGAAGGGGCTGCTCTTCTGAGCTCCTCTTCTTCTGAAGGGAAAAAAAGCAGGATGGAAAAACAAGTGACTAAAAACCTTTTTGTCAGCATATAGTTGTCCGTGATTCATAAAAATCAGCAGTAGGAAAAGAGAGGGAAACTACTGTGAAGTGGCTTCTCAGCTCCTTCAGTAATGACTGTGTGGAAATACACAGCCAAGTAAAAAATAACCAAACCAGAAATAGCAGGTAATACCAAAAACTAGAAAAAAAGAGATAAGCTTTTGTAAGATTATATGTGGCTAGTTACAGATGTGCAGTGGAACAACAACAGTTAATTGATGAGTTATGGACCATCTTCTGCATTAAGGAAAAAGAAAAATACTACTTCAGAAGAAAATACTACTTTTAAAAGAAAAATAGCTACTTTAGCAATACAACCAGAAGGGATCTGACATAGAAAGCTTTCTAAGTGCACTCACCAAGTTTTAATGCTTTCATCTATATCCTCCATTTCTGCTTGAAAAACATGTCAGCATGACCCTTTTAAAAAAATCCTTAAAGGAAAAAAGCTCTATACCTGCTTTTTGTCCAAAGTCAACAAGGAGCCTACGGAAATTCACAATTGAATTCCCAGATCTGCTGGAAAACCACGAACCTTTTTTGTTTCCCATGGGCAGGTTGGTGCTCAGTAAAGATGCAAAGGAGCTTTGTTTTGACAGCTGAGCCTTGGCTGCCAGGGCATTATTCCACAGGGCTTTGATCAGCATGGATGCCAAATACAAGGTCTGGAAACAAAACCAGGGAACAGTGTCATTAAGCAGGAGGGTTTGGGATACAAAGATCCACGGTTAATCTTTCTATACAGCAAAATAAACCTGTCAAAATAAACAAATGAATGACATGATGTTGTGTGAAACACTTCTGAACTGCAGACAGAAGTGAAAATCTTCCACCAGTGGCTGTGGAATGTTCAAAAAACCTCTAAAAATTATAATTCCAAAGCCAGAAAAGGTTGGAAGAAACATGACAACTTTACTCATATAGTTTCTGCAGTAGTGAATATTCCTTTTACTGCATTTCTTCAGGGAGGCAAATCCATAATGGTTGTTTAACATAATTGCTTTTCTCATGACAGTGATTTTGGTGGCCTTGCCTTTACCTGTTCAGTGTGGGCACTGGGATGAAGAGTTGAGACAAGGTTCAGGAGGTGTCTAAGTGGGACAGGGTCCAAGTTTTTGATCAAAGAAGGAAACAAGTCGTGGATGTAACGACTGCAGTGCTTCAGCTACAAGGTACAAACAGAGGAGGTAACAGGAACAGCACAACAAACACACAAAAAAAATCAAATATTGGCAAAAGGGCAGCAATTAAACATCTTTGCACAAGTTCTCAGGAAGCATTCATCCAAAAAATTCCGAACTCCATCAGGTTTGCAATCTGGACTAAGCTAATTTTGACCCTGTAAAGTTTAGAGAAATCAAATGTAACAGTATCCTAACTCTAGGAATTTGGTGAAAAGAAGAACTGGAAGTTTATTTTGGATTTAACTTAAATACAACTTAAACCTCAACCTTTAAAATATGAAGTTTATATGATAAATCCTGGGGGAAAAATAGTATTTGCAATTACCTTATTAGGGGTGGTAAACACAGATAAGGCATTAGAGGCCAATGTGACACTCAGAGAACAGACTGTGTGAACTGTGTGAGGATTATAAATAATTCTTTTGTCTTTCCAGCAATGGATGTCACAAAATATGACAATGTGTTTAGCCAGCTCCTCCATTTACACATTAAAGTGACAGTGCTCCTCCATGTTTCCTCTTTGGTTAAATGTTGCTTTTCACAGTCACTTAAAAGGGGATTTTTTTAAATGTTTGTATTCAAAAAAGAAAATAATGGTTACAAGAAGCTTCTAGAAGGAATCCTTAATGTTGGTTACCACACAGGCACCTCAAAAGGGTTTTTTAAAAAATTATTTATTTTGTTTTGCACCTTCCTGGCATTAAAAATATCCATGTCAGCAATTTATGGGGTGCTGGGCATCTTTCACAGGATTCCAACTGGAGTGAAATCATGGGGGGTTCTACACAAGGATGCATTTGAACATCTGGAGATAAGTGTTTCAACTGAGGAAGATAAATCTTTGTCCAAAAGTTAGTCTAAAAAGCGGAAAATACACCTTTAAGGCCTTCTATTCTTTAAGTCTAGAGGTGTCTGCCTTCTAAACAACATTAGAGGGTTAAACCTTTGACAGGAAGTAATCAGGGTACATTTAATTTTGAAATCAAAGATATAATTTGAAAACATCAGTCTGGCAAAACGTGAAGTGCAAAAGAATTATTGAATTTAGGTAATTATATTATTCTTCAAGTAGTGTCAAATCTATTAAAAATTCAGAGGTCTAACCCAGTGTGAAAACATCAGGGAAGGTAATATACTGCTTTAAAAGTGTAAGTGAAATAAGTAATTATTAATTACTCTGACACAAAGGATTGTTGGAGCCTATTAGAGCAAGTGCTGCCCTAATGAGCATTTATTAACATTCCACCTGCATGTTCTAATAATGACTGTGGACTACAGAGGGTTCACAATGGTAGCATTTGATTGAAAGAAGTTACAAAGAAATATTGAACACATACAAAAACCCTCTTCAAATTCTAACTCGTATAAAAAGCACGTTCAAAAAAATCAAAATGTCTGTTGTATTCAAATCTCCTCAATAAAAAAATGTCACAACCTAAAATAAAAAGCACGGCAACCCCTGAAAAGCAGCAGACAAATAAATCTTTCTGAAGGCAAAAAGCCTGGTAGAGTTTCCAGGTTTAGCAAGAAAAAAAATAAAATTTCAGTGCCCTTCTGTAGATTTGAACAGCAGCACAGCTGTAAACTTCACTGCCACAATTTTCACCTGATTGTTCCCACCAGGGGTAACAGAAATGGAAGCTCCAAGACACAGGAGAGAGGCAATTTAACACTGTAGTAAAAAATATTACAACTGCCCTACAATCTTCACCCCCATTCTTGATGAAAACACCGTGTCTTTGCTAAACAACTTCATTTTTTTTTCCTTGTATAAAAGTAGCCAAGGTGAATTTTTGCCTCTAATAAATAACCCAGTAACTGTGGTAGTTACCTAACTTGAAATTTTGGTCAGCAAAACACTCAGAGAGCCAAGAAAAAGCAAAAAACCCGACTTTAAGAATGTAAAATAAAATCAACTTGCCATTTTCTATTTTTTTTTAATTTTATACATACCTGTGCTGCAGCCCAAATACAGTCTATATGTTGAGTACTAAGTCTGCCTTCAGCTGCAAGAAAATTCAGAATCACTTGGCACTGTTTGATGATCTGCAAAGTGAGAACATATTGAAGATTTACTGGAACAAGAAGTGGCTCCTCCACGTTTCAACTCAAAACAGTAATTTAATACAAACCTCAATATGTAAATTTGGTCCAAAAATGTGCTCAACTACATTGTTGCTGATCAGCCAGTCTGCAAGTTCTTTTGCAATGGACCTAGAGATGAAAAAGGAGTAGGAAACATGGAAAATTATCTGCCTGGAATAAATATTTACACTGTGCTCTTCCCTGGCACAGCACGACCTGCAAGTCAATCTCTGCAGTGGGAGTGAGTGCACAAAACCCTTTCTGAACACAAACCATGTTCAATGGTCATTTTTCCAAGTAGGAAGCAAATTATTTCAGCATTTATTTCTTTAGTTGGAAGACTGTAATGCAAATATTAACATTTCCCACTCACCCCTCTGGATCATCAGCAACAACTTTATTAATTTTATTAGTTATTACTCAACCACCTGCAAACACTTCCAAAGACCTCACAGGTAAGATTTGACTCTGCTAATCCAAGTTTATCATGAAATTCCAGAATTTCATGGAGTGGGAGTGACAGAAATGATTTTTTAAAGCAAACCATTTAGATATTTTTAGACTCTCTTACATTAATAGCAACTCACACAGCTTTAAAAAAAACCTCTGATTTACACAGTCATACTTACACACAGGTACTTCAAAATTCTCATTTTGCCTCATCCATAACAACAGGGAATTTTCCTCACTGCCAATCCATAAGTAAACATTGGAAGTGGACAAGGAGTTTTCCAAAACAAAAGCTGAACTTCCAGAAAGGACTGCCCTGTCTGCAAACTGGTGCATAAGCTCCTTTTTATTCCTTCTTTTCAAGCAAACGTTTGTTTACCCAGATTTTGGCACCAGAAGCAATTAAAGGACATCACAGTATTTAAAGCTCAGCCTTTGGTGGGAATGGCCCTGGAATAACAGTGCTCTGTTCCACAGGGAGCAGGGGATGGGAGGGAGGGGGTGTCCTACAGGACTTTGGGAAGAGTAATTTTTACTACTGCAATCTGTGTCACATTTATGGTCACTATTAAAATCCAGGACTGCCAATCTTTATCAGCCACATGAAGAAAATAAGACTCCAGAGGTAAAATGAGATTGCCTTTGTGGGTTTTCCAAACAGGATTCACTCTTCAGGGACAATTGTTTTGAATTGGCTGATCCCTCTGGATGAACTCAAGGAGCAAGGCTCCTGTTGCTCCACACCCTTTTCTATTCTAATTCCAGGACATTGGGAATCAAATACGTCCTTTAACTATTTAAGTAATAACTGGCATGCAAGGATAACAATTTGCCAACAGTATCACTTGTGCCTTAGTAATCCACTTCTCCCACTGTGGATGTGCCCAAAGAGGCATGGAAAAAACAAGCTGGGTCTGTTCCATGAATCCAAGAGCTACTTAAACTTCCCTGAGCCTCATTTCAAAACCAAACCAAACCCAAAAGGTGCCCACCCCAAACCAAACTTTGGAGCATCAGGGCTTGGATTTCTGTCTAACAAAACCTGAGTAGGATTAGATCCAGTCATCTGTTGTATTTTAGCTCCTCCAAAGGAAAGAACAAAAACTCTCTTCTACAGTGAGTTCCTTCACCTTTTTTTAAGTTACTATGACACTTCTCTGTCTCTAATGCACAACATTTTTCTTCTGAAAAGTAGTGGATAACTCTCCTGAAGGAATGGCTTTTTTAATGGATGTATTCTCAGCAGTAAAAAACCTCTTCATCCTACTGGGGAGCTCCACTGTGGTAAAACTGCATCTCAGATTTCGGAGGGGAAACATTCATTTGATATGGATTTGTTGAGGAGGGCCAAAAACAAGAGGATCCTTGTGAAAGGCAGAATGAAGCCTTTGTGTTTCCCAGAGGGAACTGCTCCTCCCAGAAAGTCTGGCTGAGGGCACACCAATCACTACCTTTTCAAATCACCGGGTCAGTACCAGCACTAAGTATTCTGAGAATATATTTGCAACAGCAGATTCAAGGATTCACCAAAAAAGGCTGATTTCAGTGCAAATGGAGGATGTCTGACCTATTTCCCAAACACTTCCGCTTCAGGAAAGGTTTTTCCCAAAAAATTTTTCCTCTTTCATACCAAAGGGAACAGTGAGAGTGAAATTTATGCACTATGATCAAAGTATAGATGTGCTTTTCCCTCTCACATGAAAGGAGCACCACAAGGAATGGCTTTACAAATTAGCTATCAAATCATACAGACCTTAGCAGTAAGAAAATTCACCCTGGGAGTAACATGGATTAGCTGTTTTTCACGGATTTAATAACTGGATAGCAAGAGGAAAAGTCATCTAAAGAACCTGATACTCTCTGTGGGTCTGTGTCGTGGTGAGGGAGGAGGAGAAGAGAATGCAAAGTTAAATGTAGCAGCTACTCTGGTTTAATTGTCTCTAAATCTCTAAATCTACACAACACTTACTCAATTTCTCCCTAGATTTTTTAATGTAAATTCACTGGTAATTCAGTCAAAAATAACTGGTTTACTTCCAAGAAATGCAATTCAAGCACTTTTGACATTAGTTTCCTCAGGCATTCCATGAGATTGCAAGGAAGAGAGTGAGAGTTGTGCAGTTTGTGATCTAACCTGATGTTTGGGAGCTGCACTTACAAAAGGCAAGTACTAGAGCTTGGATTTTGTTCATTATTATGAATAAAATTATCCATAAGGAAACTACAGTTTCTGCATTTTCCTGGTAGCTCAAAGAATGCCTCTCTTGAAGAGGACTGGGTTAAAGTCCCCAAAACCACTTTAATCTAAGGCTGTGGTGCAATACTTGGGAGCCACATGATGACCCAGATCCAGGAACAAATCCCACAGCAAAGAACCACCCCCCCAAAGAAAACCTTATTTATTCAATCAGCCAATTCCCAAGGCAATTCCCCACGAAGCTCAGGGCTGGATGAAGCACAGCAGCAATTCCACAACCTCACTGAAAACCAGAATGTAAACCCTTCAAAGAAAAGATGGAGCAACAAAACTGGCAGCTTGCAAAGGAGGGACACCAACATTTCTGGACAAAAAGAATCACTGAAAGAGCATCTACAGCACAACAACAGAAGCCCTGATCTCAACCATCCAGGATGAGAAGTGCAAAGAGGATACAGAAAGCACCTTCCCAACACACAGCAAGCACGTGGGTTTGTGTCTGAGCCCACATTTTCCTATTGGATGCTCTGCAGGCTCCAAAACCCCCACTCTGACATCATCTGGAATATTTAGTAAACTACTGTGTGGGCCATGAGAAAGAAACATTAGTGAGCTGAGGGGAAAAAAAAATCACTGTAGTTTTTTTTCAGAGTAAATCTGAAAAGATCCCTGAAATGTGGAACAGAGAGAGGGAAGAGGTATTTAAATGATGCTGCAATAACTCAGCTGGTGAGCTTAGACAAAAACTGAGAAAGCAAGAGTTAACACGAGGTAAGAAACTGCAGTGAAGGGGAAAAGCAACACACAACTTGCAGTTGAGTATCTCAATAAATAAGGAAAGAGAGGGAAAGAAAGGAGAAGAAATAGTGCAGATCTTTCTGTTCACAGGTAGAAGGAATTTTGGACACCTGAAATTTCTCTGTAGGAAGCTCTTTAAGTGGGGATAATCAAGTTTTTTAAATGAGGTGGGAAGTCACCTCAACCTGAAAACTGAAACCCAAACATTTGGTTGCCTGCCAAGTGAGGAGCAAAACAAAATATCCCTTTACAGGTGGTATTTCCAGAAGTTGGCAGCGTCCTCATTAAGGAAAAAAACAACACTTTTTCCTCTTGTGGTCCAAATAGCACAAAAAAAATAATCTTTCACTTTCTGAAAGGCACCATCACTAACATCAGCAAAACAGCTTCAGGAATCACTTACTTAAAGACCTAAAGACTCTTGTGTTCAGACTTGTTATTTTTAACCTCAACAGATTTCACATCTTCAAACTGCAGAGTTTGGTTCTACCTTAAGAGCCAGGAACAGCTAAATTGAAAGGACATCCCTGAGGGATATTGTGAAGTTGAGTCGCTGAGAACTGCCCACCTCTGGACCTTATGGATCCTCAGTCACCACAAACCCTCAACCCCAGAGAAGACAGGCAGGGAAATGAAATCTAAAAAGACACACAAATACCTAGAGGTAGAAAACAAGACTCCTCTGCTGAGCTTTCTGCTGCTTTCAAGTGCCATTTGTGAAAATCTGTGTTTTCCCAGACAGAAGATGCTTTCTCTTGTCTTACCACGGAAAAAATTTGCGACGATGCAGGAAAGGTGGGAAGTTACTGCTGCAAAATAGCTGCTAAAAAATCCTGATGATAATTCCAACCAACAGGGAAGAGCTGGACTAACTGCAAGCTTTTTCTTGTTTTTTGGTTGTTTTTTTTTTTAAAGATACCTCCCGCAAACCCACCTTATCAAGATACAGAAGGAGAAATCCCAAAGGTTGACAGTTCCAAACTCGTCTGGAAAAGTCAAAACATACAATGGGGATGGGCCAGACATAATGCAAAACATCTTCCTTTGGTAAATCTGCAGAGGCTGAAAAGGTACAAAATAAATCTTAAGACTTCCTTTCTCCACTAAGGCAAGAAAATAGGAATGAAAAGCTCTCCTTTCGCTGCTCATTCAGTCACTGCCAACTCCCTGAGTGCCTTTTCATCCAAAAATTTCTCATGAGCAGAGTCTGGAATGAGAGGGAAGCTTTGTACTGAACAAACTGGAAAAGTGAGACATTTTCCCCATCCTCCTGCACTGGTCTTTTCTAATTCTTTGGCTGGAAGACATAGTGATTCCAAAAGGTATCAGAAGAAGAGCAGCAGAACACTTGATACTGATTTATAACCCACTTCTCAGGTAAAAGCCCAGAATGACTGGAATCCGGATTTTATTAAAAAAAATTTACACACTACAAAAGTGGAAGAGAAGGTTTTCTGTTCCTGCTGCATTCCTTTCACATGACAGGCTGTTTACAGATGCCCTTGCCAAGAAAAGTAATATCCCAAAGGAGAATTTGACAATTTCCTTCAGCTTTAAAATAACTCTGATGTTCCTGCATCAGTACATCTGCTCTTCCAGCAGGAGAATTTAAGCATCCTTCTCTTTTTCCACGTTGGTAACTTTTCTTTTCTTTTTTTTTTTTTTTTTTACATTTGCCACAGAAACTCAAGCAGCTTTTTTATTAGGTTTAAGTGGTGGAATAACTTCTTGTTGATGCTACTGGTTAAAATGTATTTCAGCAGATAAATTAACAGAGGAACACCTCTGTTGGAGATTTTCCACATGAGGGAAGGAGAGAAGAACTGGAGAAACCTGAGGTTTGTCAGTCCCAGTGTAACAACACACCAGGAACTGGCAGTGCAATATTCCAACATCCCAGTCAGCTGAGCCACCTCACATCCCCAACACAGTTATTTACTATTTATTTTGGATTATTCCCAAGGTAATTTCACATCCTGATGGAAGCAAAACTGCCCTGGATTCTGGTTCTTTATGTTTCAAATACCGACCTAATTACCACAGATTTCACTTCAAATATTCAAGCTGTTCTTTGCAATCTACGTTATTGTGGTTGTGACTTCAGTGAGATTTCAACATTAAAATAAAGCCATCTATAATAAAACTACCCAGACAAAATCAAGCACTGCTGCTGTGACACTTTAATGTTCAAAAAGTGGAGAGTGTGTGTCTGTGGCCCCCAAGACAGACACAGAGAATGTATCCCCCCCCTCAAGAGAAATGTCAAAAGTGTATCAGGAGTAAAATCCTAGAATTTACACCCTCTGCCTGCTATTTCACAAGAACAGTTATTTCAACTACTGAAATATGTATTTTGGTTTAAATTCCAGACAGTTCTAACAGTAAGTTTAGAGTCACTGCAAAAATTAACACATTTCCTCAGTGGAATACAATCCCACAGGGGAATTCTCAAAGGTTTATGGAAGTTCCCTTTAAAAGTGTTCAATTCTACAAATTAGGACTTGGAAGAAGAGAACAGTAGTATTGCCTCACAAACTCTACAGAAAACTAATCACAATGTTGGGAGCCACTGATGGCAAGAGAAGCCTCAGTTAAATATCTAATCCAGGGAAATGAGGAGATGGCAAAAATGATATGAATTGGGTATGAATTAGCTGGTTCTTATTTATACATCACAGTGGAGATAATGGCCCATTCCAGCTATTTATTATTTCAGTATCTACATTTTTCTAAAGCTCACCTTGATTCTGCATTTGAATACAGCAAAGAAATCCAGAAACACTGAGAAATGTTTTAAATTTACCATTTAAAGCCATTTCTTAACCCCCTGATCAGAATATTTCTAATTATCACCACTCCCCACTGTGTATGATCCCTACCAACAAGAGAGAAGAATTGCAATCACATAACACACTTCAAGTATTCAGAATAAGGTTCCTACTTACGTTTCCGTGTCTGAAACTAATGACTCATTATTACACACATCATTGAAGGTATGAAGTTGGTTCTACAGTTAGAAAAAGGAAGAAAAAAAAATTACAATTTTATCTAAGCATTTGGTGAGGCAGTTTTGTTATATTTAAAAACAGCAAATGAATTTTTGTAGCACTTTAAATGTTTTTAAATAAGTTGCTTCGACAAAAATGTGAACGAGGAGAGATTTTCTTTTTTCAAGCAATTAAATGATGTTACAAACCCCCACCCACTGCAGAAATCAAGCAGGTGTGTGTAGCAGCCACTTTGCACAGGTTTTCCTGAGAAATCAAACACAACTCTGGAAACTGAGGTTTTAGGATGAGCCTCACAATTGTTGTAACATTTACTACACCAACAAACATTTCATCAGCAGTGTTGAAAGTGTAAAACTGGAGAATGAAAGCCATATAGTTTTATATGAAATGAAGCTTTCAAAGGTGTCTGAACTGATAAGTTAAAAAAAAAAAAAAGCCTGTTTCACATCTCTTTTCCATTTCTTTTCCTCAGCATCAACTTTCCAGACACAGAGATGGCTCAGTATCCAATTCTTCCCATGTGCATGTTATCTTTAAAAATATTTAAAATTATATATGAAAACTTATTTGCCATCTGGTTTTCAAAAAAATTAAAGGCACAGTGTTGTGAATTTGGGAAATTCAAATTAAACTTGTGGCATAACTCTGTCAAAATATTTACTCCTTTCTTGAAATGAGCCTGGTACTGTTGTTACTCAGGTGAATTTGCTGATCTTCTGAAGTCTTTACACAAAGATTTATTCCTGTCTAATCTCAACGATTTTTGTGGGAAAAAAAATGTTTTGAAGAAATAAATTTGAAAATATGCATTGAAATTAATGAGACATCAGAGCCTGATTACACAATTATTAATATACCAGTTATCAAGACTTACAAATGAAGCATATTTAGGAGTGGAAAATCATAAAAAGAACTTAATGAGGAAATTATGTTAGAGGAAACTAAGGAAGGAAGAATAAACATGCCCTGTGCAAGTTTTGCACTGAATTTGTTCAGGAAAAGCCTGACAGTGTTGAATTTGCACTTAAACCAAAGCACAGAACCCACCAAAAAGGGGGCTGGAAAAGTGAGAAAGGGCAGATCAGTTCTAGGGGTTCATCTGCACACACTTGGGCACATCTGTAACTGGAAGGAGAACAAAGAATTCTATTTGTGAGGGAAAAGTAGGGAGACAACAGGGTATTTTGGAGCTGAACCACCTCAAGAGATGACTGGAAGACGAAATGAAAGAGAAACAAGGTAACAACAAAAATAAAACTTCCTATGATTTGAATGAGAAAGAAGAATAAATTGCCTCAGTGTTCCAGAGCAGTTTTAGAGACTATTCACATGAAAAAAAAAAGCCTCAGTGAGTTATTAGCATCCAATATTCCATTTTTACAAGCTGAAAACTATTTGCCTTAGTCTAAAATTACTGTAGAATTTTGCTTCTGGTAATAAGTGTCTGTTATTAAAAACTTTCACTTTTACAGTAATATTTATCACTCATAACAGGTGAAAACACATAATTCCTTAAAATCCCATAATTTCACACTCCCCTAAATGAACAACATGCCTGAAAAAATAACCCAAGTAATGCATCCTTATTTTCAGACTTTCTTTTGGTGAGGATACACAAAAAGACATGCACTGGGAGTTAACAAGGAGAATCATAAAAAAACAAAGGAAACTACTTTTATAAATTGAAATCTAATGTAATTGCAACTATGCAAGTATTAGAAATTTATTTTAAAACCAATCACACTGAGTGGATGGAGCTCACAGACTTCTTTAGAACTTAGTAGAAGTCACATACCTGTGTAAATTGAATATTTATTTTGGTTAAAGCCCATCAATGATATGACTGGAAGTACTTACAAGTTACTTTAAATTGCCATTGATTAAAACAATTGCAAGTACTTTTATCTATGAATACAGTGAGGAGCAAAATGTTTTGCCTGGTGTGACCTGGAGCATTTCCATGGGAAAGGGAAAGATGGGGGGGGTGGGGGTTGGTTTTAATTTTTTTTTCTATTTTCTATATTTACCTCTTCAATTCAGTCTTCTGCTAATTAATGCAGAGAGAACCAGACTAAACAGAGAGGAAAATGAGGTATGGACAACAAAAAGCAGCAGCTGATTGCAGGAGAGTCAACCCAGTGCCAAGGTAAAAGCAGAAACACTTGAAAGCCTTTCTAAACACCAGATTTTGCCACGTCCAGGGGCTTCACTCCAACACAGCTGGCCCAAAACAGGGTTATAAGGGTTTTGTTTAGCATGTCAATTGTTCAGGTAATGTGAGCCAGCTCCATATGGTGCAGGACACAGCCATCCCTTGGATTTGGCTCTCAGTGATCCCAATATTCACCAAATATTCACTATAATTTCCTGCTTGGAAGAGCATTCTGCTGTTTTCACACATTCAAAAAAAGCCTGTAACCCCTGAAACCCAACCAGAAACATTTTTTTTTCCTCTAAATACTATTTATATTTTTAAAAAGTCCTTACTGTTATTTGACTCAGCCCAGCCAATCTCATTGTTAGAGTTGGAGACATAAAGTATTTAAAGGCAAGATCGAGACTTTCTTTATCAAAACACAAGGCTGTGTCCAAGGGTTCTTTCACTGTGCTCCACATGAGATCTGCCATGTTCCTGGCTGCACTCTGTCGTAGCTCCTGGTCTGACAGTTTACACAAATACCTGGAATAAATCACAAATGGAATTAAACAAACAAACAAAAACAATCAAACAAACAAACAAAACCAAAAATAAATTAAAAAAAAAACAAGAAACTCCCCCCAAACTCCCCCCCCAAACAACAACAAAAAACCAGAACAAAACAAACAAACAAAAACCAACCAAACAAAAAAAACCCCAACCAACCAACAAAAACAAAACCAAAAAATTATTTATTTTTTATTATAATTCAAACTAGAACATTCCTGGAACACCATCCTGATTGTAGTAAAGACATTATTTCCAATAGCTCTAAAAGCACTATGCCTTAAAATACTTCTAAAAGTTGGCAACAATTAAGGAAAACACCAAGGGCAAACAGAATTATGCAGAAAATTTTTAGAAGTCAATAAATTGCTAAAGAATTTTCAACAGCTATGTTTGTCCTACTGCAATTATCTCAGATGAGGGGTCACCTCATGGTGCACAATGAGCTGAAGGGAGGCATAAGAAATAATCATTTATAAAACCTAAATATAAAATCATGTAAATATATATATAAGTACATAATATATAAATCATTATATGTATCATTAAATATAAATATATAAATTATTTAAATATATAAATCATTTCTAGAACCCAGTGTGACACGAGTCTCACCTAAGCAACTACAAAACTGAGACACAGAAAATCTCCACTGAGATACCTGGAAAACACTGACACAGTTGAGAATTTCTCCTAAACTGAATGTGTAGGACAAAAATATCTAAAACCAAGCTTTCCTGAGCTTGTCTGGATGCCACTAAGGATGGCACAGGGAAAGGTACATGCAGACAATTAATTTTTTCTGCTGTACTTCAGTGTTTTGAAGTCGCAGCTACATCCAAACTAGATTTAACTACACAGAAACCTGTTAAAAATCCATTTGTTTGACAGCCCAAGCCTGGATCTGTCCTTGGAGAACAGCCAAAGAGAAGCATGAATCTTTTAAAAAAAACACAAGAGATATTAAACTACACTTAACTGGATTTATGCACCATTCCTTTGCATTTACATCATATAAACACCAGTAATTTTTTTTTTTAAAAGCAAAACTACAGGCCCTGATTCTTATTTAGATTAAGGTTCTTTTTCACAGCTCTTGTGTAGAGGCCTTAAAATAAACACACTTAAATGATACTTAACACTGTCAAACAGAGAAAAGAGACTCCAGTGCAAACAATCCCAGAGTGGAGATGGATGACAGGGATCACAGATAAGTAATGGCAGGACAAAAAAAAGACCATTCCAGGCCAAGGCAACCAGATCCTTCACTGGGATTAGTTGGGAAATCAGATTCCTGGCAAGAAAATGCTGCTTCTGTGCAATGATCTGTAACCAGAAGCCAAGGAGGAAGGAGAAGGGAACACTCCTGGGAAAAAGTTCAGCAGCAAAGTGGTCCCAGTGACCTACCTTTAACCTGCAGACAGGTGAGAGCAGCTCCACTGAGGGGGAAAAGCACCAGAGCCACGGTCTGTGGGTGCTCTGTCCCAGACACCACCCAGAGAAAAAGGGACAGCCTCTGCACCTCCTTCAGACCTCAGCTGGCTCAAAAAGGAACTGAAAGATTTAGGGGTTATTTTATGGCAGAGAGACTGAATGAAAAAATAAGAGGCCACAATTAGGCTCCCACGCCCGGCCACGAAAAGCAGGTGCAAGGATTTCTCAGAGCTGGTGGGATTTGGGAGTCACCATCCCCTGGAAGTGTTCAAAACTGTGCAGATGTGGCACTCTGGGATGTGGTTTAGTTCCCATGTAGCAGTGCTGGGTTAGTGGTTGGACTTGATGATCTTAGAGATGTTCTTCATCCTTAATTCTGTGATTCTGTAACGACCAGCAAGTTTTATCTTCCCATTTTCATACTGCAAACTGCCATCAGTCCTGGTCCCCAAACTTTTCCACGTCCATAATGCACATCAGGGCAGATTCAACAGTTCCATGAGGGATTTCTAAAGATCCCAAAGATGTCCAAACACATGATATGAATTTCCTCATTTTAAGAAGGCCAGAGAAAGGTGCTTTTATGCAGGTGGGCATGGACACACCTCCATATACAGAAGCAAGGGGGCTTTGGGGGCTTCACTAAATTTCTGTAACACGAAATCTTCCTCACACTACAAAGTTTGGTGAAGAAACTATAATAATCCAGTCTATAGAACAAAACATTTCTTATTTTAATGCCACATTATCAGTCTAAACCTGTTTTTTTAAATAAAATTCACACTACATCCACATTTTTAACCTGAATCAGACTAGTGTTATATTTTTTTATTATAATATTGAGTGTTTTTTAAAAAATTGCACTTGATAATACATTAAACTACTTCTAGTAATTTAATTCTAGCATTTTCACAGCTACAGAACCCTAAACAAAGCTACTTGCTACCACAGAACCCAGGTTTTTAACAAAACTGGCTTGTTCCAACCAAGCACAGTAAAACAGTTGATTTCAAACTTATTTTAGAAGTGTAACTGCAGCTACACTACAGAATATCCTGGCACTACTACACTGGTCATAAATCAAACAGGATCATATCTTTACTACCAGGATTAAAACCATGGAAATCTGCAGAGTAGGCCAAGCCTCCTTTTTTTATTGTGGAAAGGCAGAGTGGGCTGAACCCATCTGGACCAGTAAGCTGGCTCTATGTTATGTTTTTATCAGTGTAATATTATTATTATTGACCAAAAAGAACTCTTTAGCTGGCACTGGCAATGAACACCCTTTTTTCCTTCTCCTGACTGTGAATGTGCTACGTTGCCTCAGTAAGAACAGGGATCCTGGAGCAAGGCAAAAGGTCTGTTTAACCCAAAATAGCCACTCCAAAAGCAGATTAAAGATTTATCCCATCTATAAAATAATGGATGAATCCATCTTCTCCTGTGAATTCATTCCTCTCTTTCTATTTATACCTCTGGCTTTCTCATTAACCTGTGCCAGTCTGTTGGACAATTACATTTGCATGGAAAACAAAGTCCTTTCACTTCTTCAATCTGACAATTGCATGGCACGTTCTCCACTTTTTTAAAAAAAACTGTGAATTACCATTCCCTACTTATTATCTTGGTATCAGCCATAAATGATACGAATCTCCCTGTCAAAAAAAAAAAAAAGACAACCACCCTAGACTATGTCTCTCCTCTTATCAATGTAAATTTTTTATCTCCTCTCTTCCTTGTCACCCTTCCCACCACCGAGGTGGTTCTGGTATTATCTCTGAGATGGAACTGTATATAAAGCAGATAAATGGGAATGTGTGACTGACTCATGTAATGGCTTAATAATAGCTTCCATTCTGCCCTTCATTATTTTTTTAATTCCTGCATTTTTATCTTTTTTGATCCTGGTGAGCATTAAGGCTTAAAGGAATAACAGATGAATGAGATGCCAGGACCTGTGGAATCTGCTTCATCTAAAATTTTTGCCTGAATGAGACTTTAAGAATAAAACATATCTCTTTTTATACATATACATAAAGGATACTCCACTTACATACAGAACCTATCCTGCCAGCCTGGCATACTTAAAATAATCAATTAATATCTCTTATCTACATTTAAACAACACACATACATACGTATTAATTTTTTTAAAAATGAGTTTTAGCCTACTGAAACTATTTCAATGTGGGCACAAAGAGGGTTCAGTTTTAATCAACAGTTTTAAACATGCAGCTCCATGTTAATGTAAGGCTTACAATAACATCTTATGCTTCAGGACTTCAGCTACTCAGCTGAGAAATCATCTTTTTTCCCTTAATGTGACTCCTTGGGACCACAGCTGCTAAAGGGCATCTAAGCAGAATGAGTCAGGGCTCCTCTGTGAGGGGAAGAATTCACTCAAGGGTCTGGGTTTTGTCTTCTGACTTCTGTTCTTTGTACCTACCCCTTAAATTCTCAGAGTTTTTGGAGGAGGTAAATATATTTTGTGATTAAAACCTTCGAGGCTCACGGACAAGAGCAGTAACAAGGAGTGGTCTTGGGCACTCCTTTAAAAGCCAAATTCTTGAGGAGAATATTTTTTAGGGAATTCTTAAGGAGAATATTTTTAAGCAGAAGAGCAATTTGAATTCTTCCAGCTGCATTTTCTCTGTGGATCAACAGTTGTGTGGAGCTCCCACTCCCTGCAGGTGCCAGGGCTGTGTGTGCCCCGTGCCACGGGAGCTGCTGGCACCTGCAACCTCCTCTCAGTGTGCTCCTGATTATCCCAAACTGGGCCAGACACAGGAATCCTTCACAAAAAACTCTCTCCAGATCCATCTAGAAGCAGGAGACAGGGAGAAGAGAGAAGGGGAGGGGAGCAGGAAGGGTTAGAACCAGTCAGAGCTCTCAGGATTTACCAGAGGAACGTTAAATAGGGGATGTCAAAGCTGTGATGTCAAAGCTGTGATGTCAAAGCTGTGATGTCAAAGTAAGAAGGATTTTAGGTCTTTTCCTTATTATCCAGCACTTTTTGGTGCTTTACAGAGGCATCTACAGTATCAGACATACAACTTTATTTCTTACTTCTCATCAAACTGGGCTTCATTGCTGGTTGTCTTCTTTCTAAAGGACAGAACTATCCATGGCATTTTCAATCAACATTTTTGCCCCTGAAAAAAACAGTGTCCTCCAAAAACTGCTGTTTAGAGCTTCTGCTCTCTTGAGACTTTCAATGTCTGAGCAATGCAAAGCCTCTCCCATCTCTGGTTTTGAGGTAGAAGACAGGTGGAACTAATGTCTTTTTACACAGAGAGGCATCATCACCAACTTGCCCTCATTTAAAATTGCAGTAAGTCAGGACTTACTGTCTTGAGCCACTTTTCTAAGGCTCTTCCTTCTTTATGAGGATTTTGCAGTTTGAAATGCACAATTCTGAGGCATTAGGATCAGTAAAAGCTTCTTTCTGAGGAGGTTAAAATCACTTTGCTTCCCTATTGAAAGGTGTAATTTTCAATTCATGTCCTTTATTTCTTTCCTAAACTGCATAAAGACATAGCCCCTTCTGAGGCAAGATGTGAATACCAGTGCTCCATTCCCCAGGCAGAAAATAACATTTATTAGCCTTTTTCTGGTAGCAGCAATGACAGGGTTGTGTCCATGATCTTTGCAAATTCCAGCAGTGGTCTCCTCTACACAAATACACATTTTGCTGTTCACTTCATCCACTTCTGGCAGAAATAACCACAGGGCAGGGACAGAAAGGGTACCCTCAGCTGAGAAAAGATGCTGCTAAGATGCCACTCAGGTGATTTCTCTTCTCTCTGCTGCCAAAATGCAGTTCTTGCAAGGAATCCCCATGAGCAGCAACTGGAACTGAGTCAATCAGAGCCCCCAGAGCTCATTGCACACCAAAACCCCCCAAAGACCCCTGAGTTTGCAGAGCAGCAGAAGCTCTGCAGGATCTCTTTCAAAGGGGTTGTGCTGCTGTGCCCAGCACTGGGTTGGCTTTTTTTTTTTTAGCTCTTTCCTAAAGTAAAAAGCAGATGGAGACCCAGAGACCCAAGCTGCTCAGACAAGATCTGGGAGCTTTGACAGCCACGTGGGGTGAGCTGCATCCACCAGGAAAAGTCATCTTTTTCCCAAAGGCATCTGTGTTCACTTCTGCCCCACATAAAGGTTCAGCACTGGAGGTTATTTTTGTTCTGTGGCCTCCAAAGCTTCGTGTCCTGCTCTGGAAGTGAACCTCCACAAAAAGATTGGGATTTCGTAACGTTGAGAAATCCCAGATCCCCTCAGGACTGAGCTGGGAAAAACAGCAACTGGGAGAACACCCCCTTTCCTGCTCTAAACTGTGTTTTCCAGAGATGTATCCTGTGTTAATATTCCTGTTGTGATTGACAGGAATGTGTTGTAAACTCTGTGAACAGACACCAAGGGCATTATTTATGGCAAGAAAGCTGCTGACAAATCACATTTCAAATCAGATGCAAATACTCTAATGGGTAAAGGGGAAAACATGAGGAGAACCCAAGAAAAAAACTCTTCTATTCATTCTGGTGACCCCAATTACACCTACAGTTATAAAACAGAAAATGTTGTAAGAATTACAGGATAACAAGCAAGGATTACCAGGAAAAACTACAGGATGTGTCTCATTCAAGTAAATTCCTTCTTATCAGCCTAATTCTAATTGTTGATCCTTAATTGCTGATGCTCTTTTTAATTTCCATATATTCCAAGAAGACAGGTAAGGCTCATGACCAAATTCCCAGGTACACAAAGAGCCATTAAATGGAATATGCAGAAGACAAGAACGTGAAGATCTTCTGCCTGCCCTCCCTAAGCTGTTTCATGATTAATAATTACCTTTAAAAGATTTCAAAGATAACACATCAGCAATTAAAGGACTGCACATGGCTGGAGTGTAACTCCAGAGTGATGGGTTTTAATAAAAGATCAAAATACTCTTCTCTGTGCTGGGATCATTTTGGTAGAGACAATGTTACAGCAAGACAGACTGACAGGCAAGCCAGCACTTCAATTTTTACAGAGAACATTTTAAAACATGAACTATAATTCTCAGCCTAATTGTTCTGTGAACTTATTTGTTGCCAATATCATTATTTTTGTTGAGTGTTGTTTTATACTGGAATAGTAAAGACAACATGATGTGTAAAGGCACATTCCTCCTATGACTGGTATAAGCACATTCCTAATATTACAGTTACAGGAATTCCAGAGCCTTGGAGGAGCTGTGGGCCTATGGAAGAGCAGGAAAATTTTATGTTGGGCCACTGGAAGGTGAATTAGCTGTGACCACACCCCTGCACCTCCAGGTAGATACACACACAGATAGTTCCATCAGCAGCTCACTGACATGTTTCTATTGTCCTGAGAAACCCAAGGAAAACAAACTGCTTGTATAATTAAATATCTCTCCAAGTACTTCAATTTGAAAGTGTTTTTCATGACAGGCAGCTCTAAAGAAAATCTTGGGGACTGGATATATTTAGATACATAAAAGTGTGAGCAGACTTTTGCTCACACTTCAGCTCCTGCCAGCTGGAAATGCAGAACATCAGAATGGGAATGAAGCAGAGTTAGAACTCAGGAGCTGGAACTGCTCCTCCACTTCCATCACCTCACAGCAAATTTTATGTTCAGTTTGATGAGGATATCACACTGAGATTGTGTCACAACTGAGCCTGACACAACCTGTCAGAATGTCACACTCAAAATGTGATTAATTAATGAGATTGATCCGATTGATGTGAAATCAGAGGGATGGAAAGAGCTGCCCAAACAAACTCCAGACATGACTTTAACTCTCCTGGTTGAAATGGTACAGTCAGAGCAACCTCCTGTCCAGTTAAAAGTCTATCAGCTGCCATTAGAAATAAATGCAATGTCCAAAAGTCCCACCAGAGAAATTCTTCAAATCAAACTTTACCTGATAACATAAGTCCTAAAGGGTATAATGTGCTGCATGACAGCAGGGATGTGTAGCCATATTCTGATCTATAATGCAAAAACAGAAAGAGAGAAAAACTTCATTAATGACATTTAAAGAGAATGGCAAAAAAAAAATGAAATATTGTTGGTACATTTGCACGTGCAACCCCACTTTAAAAAAAGGTTTTCTTGGTGTTTTCCATTTTTCATTCAACTTCAACCTCTTAATTTCCTTGTTTTCAAAACAGGAGTTGCATCTTTCCTGCTTGTCAGCTGGAAAATATACACTTTGTATAAATAGTATCCTACTGCTCAGGTGCCTCATTTTTTAAAATTTTCTGTAGTTTCTTCAGTAGGAAAAATTGCTACTCAGCCCTGTGGGGTTTCTTTTTTTCTTTTCAAGTCCACCAGAAGATTATTCCATTCTTTCTGTTCCTTGCAAATCGCTCCTAAATCGAGTAACATCATTTGACTTGTGGTGTTTTTGCTTCTTAGGGCTTATGTATCCTATAAAATAGTGTTTTACAAGCACAGGTTTTTCACCACCACGTTTGCATTTCTCCTATTTGCAATTCTCCCTTTTACCACCTTTGGAAAGAAGATGCAAGAAGAAAAATATATGCAGAGGAAAAAAAACACCCTGAAACAGCTACTGGGCACCTCTGTGAGGGAAAGGACCAACCAAACCACTTCCACAGGCCAAGTTAGAATTCCCATCTGCATTTCAAACAGGAGCAGGGATCCTGTTAAACCTGTTACAGAGAGAAAACTACGTGCCAGGGAAGGGATGAAACAGCAGCAGCTCTTCCCTCCCCAGGTAATTTTAATCATGTGCACACACAAAGCTCTTGGGAAAAGCCAACACTGTCACTCAGGGCCATCTGGCCTTAAAACAAGAGTTCACCTTAGCCAGGATTTCTTGCATCAGTGGCAAAGAATTCAATTCTGTATGTAGAAAATGCACATTCTCCTCCTTGCCAGGAGAGAGAACGAGATTAGGCTGGAAGAAAAGTGTATCCCCAGTGCTGCTCGGCAGCATTTCCATAATGAACCAAAGAACTTTTTTCAGAACTGACCCAAAAAGTTATTTGCAGACTACTTTTCACAGGGCAACAAGAAGAAGCTACTTTGCAAAACAAACCACTCAAAATCTTCCCCTTGTAAAAAAAAACCAAAAACCACTTGGAATAAGCCTCTGATCCAAGAGGGGAAAAAATGCAAACATCCCAAAGATACAAAGTGTAACTGGAAGATGCTGGTGCTGGAAACAGGAATTCAATAACATTTTGACAGGGAGTAGCAGGGATGACAAAGATCCCATTGTATTTACACAATCTGATGTTTAACATGGTGTGCTCTGTTCCACAGGGAGCAGGAGACAGCAAAGAAAATGTATTTCTTTGTGAAAGAAAAGTATGAAGTGGTTTCATCATTTTGTTCTTACAGCTTTCACCCTTCACAGCAGTTTTTCTTCTGCATCTATTCAAACTTCTAAAGCCATTTTATACATCTGTGTACTTGCATTACATACAACCTTCAGCCTCAGAATTCAATTAAAGGATCATTTCACATGTTACAAATGAAAATATAATTTCAAACATGTTAAATATTCAAATCCTGAATTATTTAAATGACCTAAAAAGAGCATATATAAAATGACATGAACTAGCACCCTTAAAATGATAAAAAATAATATCAAATTACATTAAAAATCCTTCAACTTGGTTTTTTTTTTGCTTCCAGCTGCTTTTAAGACAAAGTATTCACTGCATCTGTTCTGTTCTCAAGTTTCAGAAGGGTTTTTTCCTATTATTTACCCTTTATCAGAGGTAATTAGTTGCTAAAAGGCAGAGCACCTCTCAACAGCTTTTACTTCTGATTCAGCTTTGGAAGTTTCACCCAGTAAAATGGATGTGAGGTTTAAACCCTGCACAGAACAAGCTGTAGGTCATTCACCATTTCACTATCAGAAATATTTACTGAATTATCTATATTTACCTATGTTATATGAATTATACAGAGAAGCGAGAGAAACATAAAACAAAGAGAAACATTATATCAAAATCATCATTATAAAAGGAAAGAAATATCTTATTTTAATATTAATATTGGCAAGGTAAAATGTATTTTATAAAAAAACCAGCTACCTCATTTGGATCTAATAAATATATTGCATCTGAAAGTCAGAAGCAGTGCTAACAAGTACAGAGTGACACCAAAATGCAGCAAGTAGATGAATAAGGCACATTAATTACACATAAAACAACATCTTCTTATACTTTCTGCAGTGAACTGACAGATAAAATCTAAATTTAATTTTTTTTTAAAACAGTTTTCCCTTAACTCACACAGATTTGCCAGCAAAGCAGGAGCTCAAAAGAAAGATGCTGGTTGAATGGGAAGAGCTGCAATGGTGGAAGAGGTTGAAGAAACAGTTCTTCTGGTTATGGTTTGGATTGAATTTCATTTTATCTGGCAGGTTTAACCACAGAGCTCACCTAAAATAGCTCCAAGAAAGAGCTAAATGTGCCACCTACTAGAAAAAAAAGTAAATGCAAAGTTGCCAAATAATTGTCTGCAAGGAGAAAGTCTGATGATAAATATTTTGGGTTAAGGGCACATCACCGAGAATAAAGAAAATAAACAATTTATGTGGAGAAAAATAAAGATTTCAAAAAGGACAAAGAAGCAAAGCAGTTGCAGTGGGATGGGATATGCAGGAAATGGGATTTGCAGGCAGAATGCTTACTGAAAAACAAGGATTTCAAATTGCCAAGGGTGTCAAAATGATGCTGAACTCCCTTCCCATGAGGCACAACAAACTCCTGGTTTCCTTTTTGCCCACATGTAATTTCCACCAGACAGGGCACAACTTCATATTCTCACATTACACCAAGTTTTCCTGTGTCCTCTTTCAGGTCTGGGGTTTATTTTCATCACCAATCTTCAAATCTCCACTGAAATCAGTTTGTAATTCCACCAGTCACAAATCACTGTGATTTCAAATCACTGAGGTGATGGAAGATGTGCATTCTCAAACTAAATGAGAATAAAAGATGACCCCCTCCATGCTGCAAATAATATACTATAATAGAAATAATAGAAATATTTGTAATAATATAAAAATCACAGAAATCCCAAAGAAATCCATTTGTGCCTCACAAGAAGAGCTACAAAGTTAAAATATCCTGAGGAACTCAAGATATTTCCATGGCACAATTTCAGGGACAGCAATGACTTCTGACAACATTCTTCTAAGTTTCATCTGGGGCTGTTACAATCTTCATATTGAGGTAGAAATCTGAAAAAAAATCTCCTTGGGAGCTTTGGGAGGTGGGGAAGTTTGGACAATGGGAGTTCTTGAACGACAAAACGCCACATTCCCAACAAGGAAAATCTTCCAGCCTTTTTTATCCCTGCCTGCTCTTCCAGAATCCTTCCAGACTTCCTTTTTTGTGCTGAATTTCTAGGGAATACTTACATTGGATACCACTGTGATGAAGGCATGTGCTATGAGAAAGGGCAGCGTCTCGGGGCTCCCGTACTCGAAACAATCCTTCATGAGGGAAAGGCCATTTTTGCCACAGAACAGACAAACATAACGAAGCAAGTGCAAGGGGACTTCTACATCCTGCAAAAATATAAAAAAAGGAAGAATTTTAATCATCAGTTAGAGCCATGAAGTCATCCAATGAGTGTAACACAATGAATGAACGTGGTTATTTGAAGTTTCTGGGATAACTTACGTTCATATCACAGAATGCCCCTAATATATTGCTTTCTTGAGCTGAAATATCCTGTTGAAAAAGAAAACAAAAAAGCAGAGTTAACTGAAGCAAGAAAAACACATTTACAGAACAAAAAACCATTTTGGTAAACAAGTGACCATTACCAGATATATCACTGTCACCCAACAGAAAAAAAGCAAACTCCTCATTCAGGGGAAGACACAAATTTTGCTCCACTTTTACATTCCAAAACACACTTTTCCATACTTTTTACTTTGTTAAGAAGTAGATATAAGCACACAAAGATACGCTCATGAGAACATCTCAGTGGTTCTCTCAACACCTGGATTAACAGATTATTCTACAATCCCAGCCCCTTCAGATCCCCAGTTTTTTCAAGAGGAATATGGCACACAGAGCAGAACCGACCCAGGGAACTCTGGAAGGCAATTTCTCCATAAAGATGAGACACAAATGCAAACACCCGAATTTAGATGAACTGCAGGATGTCCCACAATCCTGCATTTCATGATTTAAGGGGTTAAAGCTGTCAAATTATTCATTGCCAGCAGAATATTAAAATTCTCCAACTTCCACTACTATATATTTTTATATGTAGCAAAACACATCATAAAATGGAAGTGTCATATTCTTACAGGATTAAGGCAAGATGGGGAAGGAATTGTATCACCCTATCACTCTGTTAACTACTTGCTGCAACCAGAAATCTATTTTCTAGAAGTGCTAAACTGAAGAGGGTTTGGGAAAACAGCTTTTCTTTTTAATGCCCACTTGTTGGGCAACAAAGAGCAGGAAGTTTCTTTATTAGGGCTGTAACACCTCTTGGGTGTTTGGGGCACATAGCTGGGGGCAAAAAGGGCATTGGAGGTATAATATGTGACAGTAAAACACAACATTGCCATGGATACAAATTCCTCTTCCCATCCCTCTCCAGTACTGACAGTCACCAATCAAATGGAAGTTGAACAGAAAGTTGAGTTTTTTAAGTGAAACTTCCTGACTATATTTTAAATAGCTGTGTAGGAGTGAGCTTCCAACTGTACCAGAGGATGCTGGAGGCAAGCAATTTTGGATGGATTAAGTGTGATACAAACATTTTGAATTATTCAATATGCTCATATTATAGCTAAGCATTTATTTTTCCTTTTTTTTCCCCCCCACTGAACTCCAAGTCATGCCTGAACTCGTGATACTCCAGCAGTTCTTTTTAAAGCAGCTCTGGAGGCAGTAGGTGGTGTGTTTTTAAGCAGCAAGGAAAGGTGTTCAGTGCTCTGCTCAGGAAAACTGCAGGAAGAGGGTGAGAAATTTCATTAGTTTTCTTGAATAAAACAGAGACCTGTTGTCAAGTCAACTCCAGCTCCTGGAATGCAGGAACCTCCACAGGGAGGGCTGTGGGACAAGTCTTGCAAAGCTTGTAAAAGTCCTGCAGTTGAGAGGCTGAGTCTGGAAACGTGACTTCTTGGAGATGTGGAACAGAACAGCCTGAAAGCTCCTGAAGCTCAAATTTACCAGGAAATAAGAGAATTCCTCATGGGAATCTACTATGGGGTTAAAGCTCACCATCACTTCACGGGATCTTACAGCATTCCTGGACCTAAAGGGGGCTGGAGAAAAGCTGGAGAGGGACTTTTCACCAAGGCAGGCAGGGATGGTGTTGTCCCAAAGCCCTCCAGCAACAGGAAAAGGGGGAATGGCTTCACACTGAAAGAAGGTGGGTTCAGATGGGATATTAGGAAGAAATTCCTCTCTGTGAGGGTGGGGAGGCCCTGGCACAGGCTGCCCAGAGAAGCTGTGGCTGCCCCAACCCTGGAAGTGTCCAAGGTCAGGTTGGACAGGGCTTGGAGCAACCTGAGATAGTGGAAGGTGTCCCTGCCCATGGCAGGAGGGTGGAACTGGGTGAAAATATTTACTTGGAGAAGCAGAAGAGCACAAGATTCCAAACAGGGAACTACAGCTACAGACACCTGAACAACTGATTTTTTTCCCCCTCTTTCATTTCATCCCATCAAGAACTGCTCCATGCTCAGGTAACTCCCTTTGGATTCAATGTTCATTCTGAGCCACTGCAAAGTTCAGGAGTTCACATTGTTGCTTCTCTCTCCACAGGATTTTAAGAGCCTCCTTTTATAGATTTTTCCTTCCTCTGAAGTGTATTAAACTTGCTGCTCAAAGTATGAAAAGAACAGAGCATACAGTCTTAAAACTACCCTGCATGCAAGAGCTCTTAAAAATATCCATAAATCCAAAAAAATATGAAGCTCATTTCAAAGCATGAACATTGCTCAAAAAAAAAACAAAAACAATAGCACTTATAAAGATATTTTGAGCGAATTTTGTTTAGGATGAAAATTAGACACAAAGGCCTCTCAGGGCACCAAAACTATTGGGAGATTTTAACACAAGCAAAGGGTGTTGTGGTCTTCCTGAATTCCTACACCAGGGAAAACCTCCTACTTCCACAAGGATGTTTTTCTTCTCCACTAGACAGTCAAGTGTAACATGGCTCTGGCAAGCCCCTCATAAGAGGATTAGACTTCAAGAGTTGTCTGCTGCCATCGAGAACAAAGACCTTGGAGGTGTGTGCAGAGTAAAGGATAATGGGAATACCGGCTGCTCATGGAATAACACCATGGGAAAGCCTTACATTGGACACTTTTTAACTGACAGCCCAACTGGTCATTCCCAGGCAAAGTAAAACCTCACTGGGTGTGATGACTCCATGAAATGGGGCAAATTCAGCTCAAGAATCTGGAACAGGGAATTTCTGAAGTCAGGGTGGAGACTGGAGTCCGTTTTGCATCAGCAAATTTCCCTTTTTCCAGGGCAAAAGAAATGCTTCGAGGGAGAAGAAGAGCTACAGCAGCTTCTCCCAACAAATTCCTGACAGATTTAGTCTGTCCAGGAATCTGTTTAACTTACCAATTATAGACAACATACTTCAAACAGGGATTTTAATTTTATGATCCTTTGAGGACTGAGACCAAGCCTGATTTAAAACAAAAAGTGCTGTCATTACTGGGACTAACCACTTGTCTCAATTTAACTAAGATGTGCTTTAGACTGAAATCCAAAATCCAATTCTAAACCTCCTGAAATCCAAAATCAAGTTTTAAACCTCCTGAAATCCAAAATCAAATTCTAAACCTCAGTGAGTTACTCGCAGGAGCAAAAGGTTTTGACATTAAAATGTCTAACAGTGCTTTAGAATAACAGAATCCCAGTGCTTCCTAAATATAGAAGATATCAGTTTGTGAGAACAATTCTTGATGCTGGGACCTTTAAAAAGCAAAGAAAAAAAAAATCTCCCTCTGAAAAATGAAAAAGGTACATGACAAATATGGCAGGTGACATCTGGGTCTGAATCACTTCTAGGCTGCACACCAAGTAAAACAGAAATCCCATCAGGCACTCAGAGATTTTCTTCTTATCATTTGGAAGTGGAATTGAAAGAGAAGGAAAAAAAAATATATTAAATTGTCATTTAAAAGAATCAAGTGTGCCTGTACACAGAAAAGCTGTTCCAGGATTGTTCATCCCATATTCCTCTGGAGCTGCTTTCAGTCAGTGTCCCACAGAGGATAAATCACTTAAGTAGTCATTGATTTATTGTTTTTAACTGACAAGACAGATCTGCCCTCTGTAGCTCCTCCCTGCAGAGGCTGAGCTGCAGATTAATTGATGTGTGTGAAAGTTTAAAAGGCAGGTCAGGAAGAATGATGGGAAACCCGAAATCCACAAATCCTCCAATCCACAAATCCTAATTTTGCCTCCTTCTTCCACACACATATATTTGAAACAACTCTGTTCACTTACACCCAAACGTTTTGGAAACAAAATCACAAAATCCAGCCCAGAGCTCCCAAAACTCTCTAAATAAAAAATTAAAGAAGAGTGGGTTAACTGCAGTTTAATTGTCCAGTCTTTCTCAAAAATTTGTTGGACAGAAGCTTTTTCTATTGAGCTAAATGTACTTCTTTCCATATAAATATTGTAGAAGAACAGGTTATTTGTTATTAAACTGCCACAAGTTGCCAACCTTTACAAGAAATAAGTTTTTTCACCTAGGAAATGCTAACACCCTATTTATTCCGGAAACTGTGAATTCAACATGGTAGAATTTTTGCCTTAATTTTTGTTGTTGTTGGTTTGTTTTTCAGAAGAAAATAAGGTATAACAAATACCACAGAGAAAAAAATCAGCCCTGTGGAACAAAGCTACTTGTGCAGAGCTCAGTTATTCCAGTCGATTTAACAGCTCTTCCAACAAGTTTGGTCTTGCACAAAGTTCAGTTTCTGAAGCTTTGCTTCCAGAACCACAGATTGCAATGAAATTAGTAAACTATTAATGGGTTACCTTCAGGAAGAAAGACCTATTTTTTGCCTTTCTGTTATTTAACCAGTGGGACAACTCGGTGTACAGTTCCATCCAACATTATCAATATATTACCTGTAACAATTCAGCATATTTTAAAGAAAATGTAAGAGGATGTGTCAAGTTCCTGGGAGATTTTGTGCTGAAGTCAACAAGGAGAGCTGGACCTGAGAGCAAGGAGCACCAAACACACACAGCCTAGAACGATGAACCTTTCCCAAAATATTTCAGTGCAGACACAAAGAAGATTTACCTCTATTGTGGGATGGGTATTATGCTTATAAGCTGTGTAGAGAGGAAACTGAATCTGAAAGATCTTGGCCACACACAGCAGCAACTTCTCCTTCTCATCAGTGCTCCACAAGCCAAAAGCATCCGTGTTCTTGGCGGGCTCCTCCTCGGGCAGGAGACAAGTTCTTGCAGAATCGAATTTTTTCTCTATAGATTTTTGTCTCTCCCCATTTTCCTCTTGGTGAGACTCTCTCTCTACATTCAGGGGCTCCTCGTGGTTACTCTGCTCTTGCCATGTGGAGTCGATGTTGATAGTGCAATGTTTACAGAGCTGGTCCCGCAGAGCTTGAACTTGGGCAATCACTAAGTTAATGAGGGCACAAACTACTTGGTTAAAGATCTCCAGGTGTTTATACTCCTTGAAACAGCACAAACATTGTCTGCAAGCAAACAGGAAGGAAAAAACAAAAATAAAGAACTCTTCACGTTAAAACATTTGCAACAAAATATTTGACAGGCTCGAGAAAACCCAAAGGAAACAAGACTCCACCTGGAAGGAGTGGGAGTCACAAAGCCTTCCATAAACCCTGTGAGCATCCCATTGCTTCCAAAGGCTTATCAAAGCTAGGAGGTCCCTCATTTAGCAGCTGCTCCTGTGAGTAAAATACAGAAAAACCCTCTTGTGGGCAAGGTCATTGTGCTACTACAGCAGCAATGTTTGCCAGGATGTTTCTGAATCCATTTCCTCATCTGGTTTTCTCTATTGCTCTTCACTGCAATAAATCACCTGCCACTCTTGCCAGCCCTGGAAGAGCTCATGATTGTTATTTTCAAAGCAACAGGGCTGCAAAATAATTTTAGTTTTAATTGAGTGTTTAAGTTCACTTCCTTTGGATGGGGATCCCACGGACATCGGTGCCCTTTCCCCATCCAGGAAAATGCATTATCTCCAGGCCTTTTTGCACTTGGCAGGCTCAGAGACTGTTCCCCTGGTTATTTACTGACACACTGGAAGGGGAAAAGAACAAGGGGGAAAACTAAACACCATCCCTTTATCAATATAATGAGACAATTCAATAAAAACATCGATTAGAAAACTCTAACACAACTCTAATGGTGGGTGAGGATTAACTAGAGGTGTAAAATAAATTCTGGGTGTATAAACCCCCAGGGCAGATACCCTGGAACCTCTTCCTGGGCACATCTGCTTCTTCCATACAAACAAGCAACTTCCTCATTCTGAACAAAAAAATGGAGGATATTCCCTTAAAAAGATCTAAATGCTGGAGAACATGGAGAAGAAAGGCATCGATTCGGTGTCCTCACTGAAAATCAAAATTAAAGACTACAGACCCTGAGAGGGACTCTGCTCTTTCTCACTCCAATTCTACTACACTGTGTAACTCCTACATAAACTGAGAGCTGTCCTGTAGTAGAGACCTTTCTCCTGCTGGATGGAGAACAACAGCCCACGAGTAGAGTCCTCAGATATTAAAATAAGACAAAAATCACCCGTCTCTTTTCTGAAGAAAATGAGCAGACAAAAGACAGGGCAAGAAATCAACTCTGCAGAAGAGTTTTTGGAATCTCTTCTTAAACACAGCATTTAATTCGGAAACTGGGCTTAATAAATCCTAATTTGTAAGAAAAAAGTCAAGAGAAGCCAGAACTGTGACAGGTAGAGGGGGCTGCCTCCCCTGATGGAACACAAACATGTCCTGGAGCTCCAGCTCTTAAAGCACAGACTTTCTGAATACACTTTTTTTTTTCCCCAGTGGGTTAGACAAAAAGATAACATTCAGGATTCCCTAATTCCAGCACAGCTAGTGTGTCTGAAGCATCTAAACCCTTCTGTTCCATCTGTGCAGGAAGAAAAATCCCTTTAATACTGGTTAAGGGGAGTGTGCCTTTACCCATTTGAAAAGCAGATTTTTGCCATTTACTTGTAAATGTATTTTCATATTAACAAACAACAACAGGGGATTGCAGGCAAAGGCAAGTGTATCCTCAAGCAGTTTTCCCCAAGGATAAATGCTTGGGGATAAATATCTACAAAAGGTCCATCACTTATGCCTGCAAATTACTGCCCTGCTTGGGTGTAACAAATTATTCTCAGTAACAATGGAAATTCTGGTGAATATTCTCACACACTGGAGAATTTGGTTTCCAAGCCAGAGGCATGTGCAAAACCTCTAAGTCTTCCTCTGTCGGGAAAAGCTCCACCAAAAATTAAAGATCTATCAAAAAAATTGAGTCTTCTGCTTCTTTGAACATAAAACTCAAATGGAAGCACCACACACAGATGGAAGAGAAAGGTGTTCTCCAGGCTGGGTTCCAGCTGATCTTCTGAAGGAGAGTAAGAGATTTCAGCTACAGGCAACAAAATAAAAAGTAGTTCTTAAGGAAGGCCTCAAAACAACAAGCAGAACTCTCAAAAAGCCCATCTGGCAGAGGAGAAATAGAAATTAAAATGTCAAGTACAACTCCTTCCTGGGGCCCCTTTGTTGGACTCCGCTTGAACAGCTTAAGGACTGTTTTCCACAGTGTTTTACAGCATGAAACCAATTCATATGGAAGGTAACAGAGAAATCAGAAGGAAATATAGAGTTAAATGTTATCTAATCTGTATTTTTTCTTCAGCTTGGGTTTGTCATACTAGAGCTGTCGAGCAGGACAAAATCTGAACAGATGATGCCCTGGAAAACAACTGGGTTGCAATTGTTCTCAGGAAAAAAATGGGATCTAGGACCTGTCAAGAAATGACAGGATTCTGCCTCCTGTGCCTGTTGTTTATTTGGATTTCAAAATTCCTTCTCTGTGTCTAAAAGCACGTGGCAAAAGATAATGAACTTGGTTTGTCATCTTTTGGCAGAATGAGGAAGAGGAGAATTCTGCTTTCACAGGTATCCAAAGTGTGACATTCCTGGTTTTTTTTTCTTTTGGAGTCTTCTAAACACCCAAATAATGCCATCTAATTTATCCTTTATGCTTTTCTCAATATTTCTTGCAGTTTAGTTTGGTCTTGTAACCACTGCTGAACACTGAATTCCAAACATCTTTACTGTAAATTCTTTCTAAAAACTGCTATCCATACATTTCCATGTGCTGGGAAATAAGCAGAACAGCTGATATCATTACTTTAAAAAAAAAAAAAAACAAACTTAAAACCAACAGTAATTTAAATACTTGATTTAAAGGAATAATGCAGTTAATTTAAGACAACCACGTGCAAAGCACTTTATCAGTTTGGTAGCTGTGGGCTGCAACCCTTCATCATTTTGACTTGGATTATGAGGACATGGAGAAAAACTAAACATGGTGGTTCTAATTAGACTGATCTTTTCTTAAATTCTTAAATTCTTCTTACCCTCCTCTGCCTCTGCAGAGGATGGTCAGAAAATTCCATGGTAAAGCAGCACCACATGTTATTTGTCACTGTAATACAGCTATTTATTTTGCCACTCAACTATTACAGCACCCAGAATGCCAATTAGATTCAAAATATGCTTTGCCCAAAATCCATTGTGTTTATTTTGATTTCTTTTTTAAGCAGCAAAATGGTCTTAACTCTCCAAGTATCACATTAATAACTTGCCCCTTCTAATTCACTCCACTGTATTTTTAAGAAGGTAAAGCTGCTGTTGCGATTCAATATCATCAACATTCCAGCTCGATCCCAAATTACCTTTGAGTCCAGGAATTGATGTAAGCAAATATCTTGAGGGCATGTTCCTTTCTGAGCTGCAATGCATCACCACCTTCAATGTCTGATACTAAACAGAACAAAAACAAACATATTAGGAGGGAAAACCCCAACATGCAATCGCTGTATTTTTATTAGAAATTATCTGTGAGAGCATGGAAAATAAATGTATTTTCATACTGGAAACGCTCAAGTTCTCTACTGAAGCAAAAATATGTAATTTGGTTAACAGAGGTTTAGGTGCAAGTGACTTGAAAACAAAGTGCACAGGATTCCTGAATACTGCTGAGAAAATCAGTGATTGAAGACAGACCCTTCTTGTAATGCTGTTTTTATGAAATACTCTTTATAAGCTTCACTGGGAACTACTGACTGATGTGCATTTTTAAGTATGAACCTTCACCAATTTTACTGATCAACCAGACTCCTCAGGTTTGGGGTTTGTTTGGGGGTTTTTTTGTTGGTGTTTACCCCCAGATTTTCAAAGTCTGCATTCTGAGCTGACCACAAGACCTCAACTTCCTTTTCCTGATCAGATAGAGACTGGGAAAAACAAGCAAACAAACAAAACCCAAACCACACCAAACCTATCAAGATAAGAACAACGTGCAGGGTACAAATAAGGTTGTTTCAGAGGAGCTGAGTTGATGATTATTGCTTTCAAATACAGACACATCTCCCATGACATTTAACCATCATGAATCACTAATTGGCAAAATGAGAAATGCTCCCCACGTTTAGTGCAGATGGAAACCAGAACAGAACTCTGCACTGAGTTCAAACCCCAAACATTTCAATGAGTTGTTATCAAATGTCCCACTTCCATCTCCAAATGCTTCTACACTTGAATAAACCAAACATTAAGCTCCACTTAGGCAGGAACTGGTTATATCCCAGGGCACTGGATTCTCTCTCCTGGCCACACACCCTTCCCCAGCTACCAGTGCACAATTCTTCCTTCCTCCTTGTCCTGGATTTTAAACACTTGTACAATTAGCTAATTGCTGCACAAATTGAGAAAGTCAGAGTTCTTTTAAGTGGACCTTTGCATTTTTAACACAACTAAGTGTCCATCTCCACATTTCACACGGAATTTCAAGCATCACATGCTCACAAATCAACTTCATCCACCAGCTTTGTGGGAAAGGCTCTGTGACAGCAAGTTCTTCAGAATTCCTGCCTCAACCTCCTGTCCCACCTCAGCCTTGCAAGGGCCTGTGTGATCCATCCACTCAGGTTTCCAAGAACTGAAGCTAATGAGAGTCTGCCAGCCTAGACCAGAAAGTAAAGTTCAGAAGGAAACCACTTCACAGAATAATCCCCCTGAACGAGTATTTCTGACTTCTTTGAAACAGGGACATCCATTTGCACACACATCCACTTTCTCATTTGTATGCATCCATGCAAATATTAATCCTTACAAAAAGCTCCCAACAGGGTGCCAGCAAACATCCAAAATCACCTTTCTGTCTCACTCCTGAAGGTTTTAAAGATCCTACAGAACACTGGACAAAGCACAAGAGTGACAGGCAAACTAAAAGATGGGGATCATCCCATACTACCTTTGCTTTTAAACACCACAAATTACCATGACACTTGATCTCTCAGGGCCAAAGCACGTTGCTGAAGAAACCAAGAACTCCATCATACAATTTAGGTCAAGCTTACCACAAAAGACAGATCTTTAGCTATAGATAGTATCTAAAAAAAAATAAAAAAAAATTAAAAAAAAGACTTGCCCAGCATCAAAGGTTCATAAAACCTCTGTTTTCCTAATTTTGTGAGCTTTGCTTCACTAAGACGAATTCCTTCAGGCTTGACTGAAAAATAATTGTTGACAACGATTCAGTAGCTAAATTCTAACTTGTAGGATCTTATACATTTGTAAAACTTCCTTCATCCCCACATTCCCCTCCTTAAAAACCCCAAACTCTTAACATAGGCAGTAACTCTTACTTCCAGAGCAGCCTTTTCACTGCAATTGTTTGAATCACTCCCAAATTTCCCTCTGTGAGATAAAAGTTAAGCAAACTGGTCCCTTAAAAGCTACAACTGCCACATAAAGAGCACAGAATGGAGAAGTTATGGAAATACTGAAACTTCTGCCTCAGGTCAAAACACAGGGATGCAGATGAAGTAATTGGAGAAACCTGTTCTTTTCCTGTTTCTGCATTTTACATCTTACACACTGACCAACTTCAACTGGTCTTACTTATTAATCATTGCTAATTAATACAGTGGCTGCAGCCATGATTTCCCTTTTGTTTTCTGTACCTCGAAATAATATTGGGTTTGTTCCTGAAAAGACTCAGGAAGCTCAAAACAGGAGCATCCCCACTGAGGCTGCAGTTTTCCATGGAGCTGATCTGTCTGTGCCATTCCCAAGGGATGGTGACACACGGCAGGGCTGCTCCTCCTGGACCTTACCTGGAGCTCCCTTTTGCTCCTCAGCAGAAATGATCTTGTTCACCTCACTTAACTGATGTCCTCACAACCAAAACTTCCATCTTGGGCCATCTTATTCTGAATATAAACTTTGTGGACACTCCTGAGTTACAGCACCTCCATTTACAGGCAGTTTGAAGTACAGAAACAACAGGTTCTGAAGCCTTTCTAACGTGTTTTTAATTGATAAAGGTAAGAGAGAAAAGCAATAGGAACAAACACGCTCCTTGGCATTCCTGTGCATCTCCTGCCAGTTCTGGAAGGACTCCCTTGCTGCACATGATTTCACTTCCAAATGCTGATGCCTGGCTCCTTTGAAATCAGTTTTCTTCTACCTTGAACGGGCCAGAAGTTAAACCAGACTCATTCACTGGTGAATAAAGCATGTCCTTGTGTTCTCTCCCAAACTCCAGCACCCTCAGACCCTCCTCGATCTGCTGCCTCCCCACTCTCACACTTCCACTGTTTGAAACCATCATGTCAAACTTTTCCCAAAACTTTTCCTGCACCGAGCCTCCTCCCTGCCAATTGATTTGGTGGATAAGACTTTTCCTTAGTTTTCCACCACAGGATGCACTTGTGTGCTCTGAGAGCCTCTGAAGCTCATCCAAGTGGCAGCTCCTGTGCTCCCATCCCTAAGAACTGACAATATGTGCTCCAGAGCTTTACAGGCATCCCAGGATCTCCAAGCATCTCTCCCAGCAGTGGCACCTCAATCCCAATCCCAGCTCCTTCCTTCCCTGCCTGCAGTGAGTGCTCCTTTCTCCAGGCACTCAGCAGTGCTAGAAATGCTCCCCTTCCCTATCTCTGGGCTCAACTTCCTTCTCCTTCCTTAGATTTGCTCTACCAAATCTTTCTTCTCAGTTAAAGCCTCTCAGACCTTCTCACTCTCCTTTTCCCTCTTACTTTCCATGCACAGACACCTTCACCTCGTGCTGGATCCCATTTCAAAACCAACATATCCCAGTTCAAACCCATACTCCAATGGCACCTGGAGCCACACATTCCAACCACCTCCTGCAGGAACCCCAGAACTGAGTCTTCACAACATGGTTTAGAGATCTTTTTATCACAGTAACACCACAGAAGAAAGAGCTGAGCTGCTTAACCAACCAAAGTAATAATAATTGCCTGATTTAATATCTTCTGGTGTATCGGTTTTCATGTATTTAAAAAAAAAAATCAAAAAAAAATCAGAGTGACCTAAAGTGTAATTGTTTATTCAAGGAGCTGACGAGAAGCCAAAACACACGATGGTCAAAGTCAAAATTCAAAACATATCATAAAAAAAAAGAAGAATATTTCCTTGCTGTTTCCTCAGTCTCCTGTTTTACTTGGCTGGCTTTAAATGAAAACCTGGATGATTTACCTCATCTTCCACAAAAGGGTGATTTGCTATAGGGGTGTTACTAGAAACACCATCTCCCAAACTAAGCAAAAACCCCATTAATAAATGTAGTAAAAGAGGTGAGAAAAATACAAATCAGCTGCAAAGAATGGGGCAATATAATTTCATCTGTGGACAAATGAAACTCGGATCATAAGTGCAGTTTTAGCAAGAACTTCAGAGCTGGAGGAACAGCCTGTAATTAGACCTCAAGGACAACTATCCTGCTGGACTTGTGGGGAATATCTTATATCCAAAGGTCACTTATCACAGCAAGTATAAAATCAACCGGCAAGCAAAAATAATCATTTTTAAAAGCACATTTCCTCTACTTGCAGAAACATAACAGAGTAAAAAGTCAACGATAAAACCCCTTTAATATCTATAATTTCTCCATTTTGAGAACTGTGACAAGGTACAGCTGCACAGGGATTCTGCCCCCTCCCCCAAACCTCATCCAGTATCAGCTTCTCATGGGAAAGGCTGGATCGCTTGCAGAATGAACATTATTCCCAGAAATTGTTCCCTGGGATAGAATAAACGGAGGAAACGAGCCATACACTAAACAAAACAGTATTAGGGGCAATAATACTAATCTGGAAAGAAATACATCTCTAATCTGTGCGAGTACCATTGTTCACACAGAGAACCAGCACTTCTTTTACTGCACTGAGAGGTTTGCTGGGATTTTAGGGGGTTCTTTTTGCTCAGAATCAACAGCATGTCAGAGGGCAGGCACAGAGTTCAGCATCTCCCATTCCCTTTCTACTTCCATCTATTAGAATGACTTCTTAATGATAAAGAATTCCTGATTGCCTTAGATTGATTCCCAGAGTTCTTCCTGACCTTCACAGAGCCATCCTTGACAAGTACTCGAAAGGACAGTGTCAGCCTGAAGTTCAGTGGCCAGAGTTTAACTCTCCAAGCTTCCCTACAACTTTCCAGTGAGGAAACAAGAGTCTTCTTTCTACTTCTCAGTCTCCATAACATAAAACATCCCAGACCACTGACTAGATAAGCACAACCAAAGAGAAACACTACTGTAGAATACACTAGCAAATCAAAAAAGTTAATTGTTCAGTATTAAAAATACTGTTAAATGCCAGGTTAACATAGGAACAATCAGATCTGTAACCCAAAATACTGCAGCAATAAATTCTATATGGCTGGTTAAGGTGCTTGAGTGCCATTAATGCTCCCTCATCACAGATAACAACACCCACTTCCACCCCACAACA